AACTGTTCTTCTGCCCCCACAGATTAAACTGTCACCCCCGTGTATGTTAGAGTTCTCCCAGGATGTGGAGGGTCTTGTATCTTCATATTCTTGGCACCTGCCTGATAACTTGACACACAGTAGGCGCTTGGGGATGTTGAATGCCTCCAGGTTAGGACACAGCCGTTACCCACTTGGGTGCAAAGAGAACGCAGAAAGCACCCAGTGGAGACTGTGGGCAACATGTTTAGAAAGCAATTTACAACCATTCCTTATCCTTTAAAGGGGTTATTCTGATATAGGACCTTAGGTGAACCATGAAGTGTAACGAAGGGCAGTTTATCAAAGGAGACAGAATAAGCATCAAAATAAGGATCCCAAGTAGATGGGCATGGAATTTCTTAAAAATGAAGAGCTAAACTAGACTTTTCCTAGAGCAGATTCCTATCCATATAATGGAACGAATATAACACATTTTATATTCCCAAATTTTAAGCAATGAATGGTAGAACACATTAGAAGGCATAGACTTCTGTCAATGTTATTAAAAGGAACTAGTCTAAATTAGGATTTAGTAGTGGCATCTAAATTAAGGAAAGTAACACCCAATAACAGATTACTGTCTGGAAATGGTAGAGCTAATTAGCATAGCATAATTTAAGAGTAATATATTTTTAAAATAAAGCAGTGAGTATGTATATAGAATTTTTAAGTGAATTCTTATTAATATCTTACATTTGTCTCCTCTTAGGCAAGCTGTGAATTGGTGGGCTAGGCACTGAATTGAGAGACGGATCTCTTTCTACTTTCTACCTGGGGACCGTTGGGGTAAAGCACATACCTTCCTTATCTGTAAAATGAGTATACTAGTACCCACCTCACCGGGCTGTAAAGATTAATAATTCTAATGATAATTTATAAATTGTAAAGCCATGCAAACCTAAGGAATTGCTCTTTTGTCCTATTGCTATTCTGATCTCCATTCTCTTTATAGTCTTTCATTTCTGCTTCAAAATGGATTTTTGGTGTGGATCCACATTATTGTGAGTAGTACAGCACGATTCCTGCCTCTGAATCTGAGTCGCTGGAGGCAACTCCTTTCAATGATTAAGTAGAAGTTTTTTTCCTTTCTTCTTTCCCCCCACAAACAGTGACTGTGCACTGAAAATGAGCTGGATGATGACATATTAAGGGCAATGACTTGGGAATTATGGGAGCTTGAGGAGATTGTCCTGGAAGAGGAGATGCCTGAGCTGAGGTCTCAAGGATGCCTGGGAGGCAACCAGGTGAAGAGGCAGAGGTGCCACAAGGCAGCCCATGTACTGCAGAGCCCCTGAGAAGCTTGGTATTGCCATATTGTAAAGAGTTGGAGGGCGGAGGGAAAGCTGAGAGATGGTGGGAGCAGAAGGCCCTGAAGCCCTGCTGAGAAGCTTGGACTTCACTTGAGCATGAGGAGAATTCACTGAAGTGGGTTAAACAACAGAGTGAAGGGCTCAGGTCGGAAGTTTAAGTGAAGTCCGTCTCTTTTTCCAGGAGTAAGAGAAGCAAGGTTCCCTATCACCTGCCAGAATAAGTTAATCATACAGAAATTAAGACATCTAGATTACTATATGCCATTTACAGAGTTTTGAATAGATCAAAAACAATTGAGAGTAGTTGTATTGAATGGGTTAAATGTTAATTGGTTGTTTCCAATTTAAATTATTATAATAAATTTCTTTCTGCACACACACATACAAATACATACGGAGGGAACATGATGTGAAGTATAAAGACAGGGGTGGGTGGTGGAAGGAAGAGACAGCAAGTATAGAACCCTCACATTTTGGCTGAGAAAGAGAAGAATTCTCTAGCTGGCAGAGAGGGAGTGGGTCAGGTAGAGAGTTATTACTTAAAATGAGAGAGGAATAACCAAGTTCATAGGCCAAGGGTAAGGAGCAGGGAGAGAGAGAGCTGACGCTACAGGAAAGAGCAGGTGGGATACAGGCCTGGATAAGACAGGTGCGCTAGCACTCTGCTCCTCAAACTGAGTGTACCACCAACAGCTGGGCATCTCGCGAGAACATGGATTCTGAGTCAGTAAGTTAAATGGGGCCTGAGCTTCTGCTTTTCTAACAAGATCCCCAGGTGATTCATACAGCTTAAGATGGACAGATCTAGAGCCTTGTCCCAGGACCAGCAGCCTCAGCCTCACTTGGGAGCTTGCTAGAAACACAAAGGCTCAGGCCCTGCCCAGACCTACTGAATCAACATCTGCAGCTTAACAAGACCTCCAAGAGATTCCTAGGCACGTTCAAGTTTGAGAAGCCCTGCTCCAGGTAATAGGAGAGGTAAGGTTGTCTCCCAAATGAGAGGGAGAATGGGGAAGAGTTGATGGGAGAATTTAAAGAGCAAGCCAATGAAGGAGGTGTAAATGACTTGGCAGATGGCTGCTTCAAAAGCCCAGAAGAGGTCACAATCTACAGTGATGCCCAAGTACTTTGGATACAAACAATCTGAATGAAACTTCTCTGGCTTGGTTGCTATATTTGGGCAAAAGACTTTCTATTACTATGTAGTATGCAATGCTTTTATTCAAGTGTCTTCGTGTTAAAAAAAAAAAAAAAGAATATTGCTTTTTCCCCTTTGTTTTAGCTGATTGATTAACTCATAAAACATTTTCTCAATTTCTGTGATGGACCCTATTATTCAGGGTTCTCTAGAGAAACAGAACCAACAGAGAGAGAGAGAGAGAAAGAGGGAGAACGTGTGTGTGTGTGAGTGTGTGTGTCTGTGTATAGGGAGAGAGAGATTTATTGTAAGGAAGTGGCTCACATGATTGTGGAGCCTGACAAGTGCAAAATCTGCAGGGTGGGCCGGCAGGCTGGAGGCCCAGGCCAGAGCTAATGTTGAGGTCAAGTCCAAAGGCCATCCATGCAGAATTCCCTCTTGCTCAGTCTTTTGTTCTACTCAGGCCTTCAACTGATGGGAGAGGCCCACTCACATGGTGGAGGGCAATTTACTTTACTCAAAATCCAGCAATTGAAACATTAATCTCATCCAAAAACACTCTCATGGAAACATCCAGCATAATGTTTGACCAAATATCTGGACAGACCCAGATCTTCCTGAAGTCATCTAGTTCATATCTGCCACTAAGAGGGGTTGTGGTTAAGCAGTCCAAATGGGGTTGCTATCTTTTTATCGAAAAATCCAGAAAAGGAAATTCTGTAATATTCTCTATTGCATTAGGACAGTCCAACTTAATGGGGTAAATTCTGAGCTTTAACTTGCCACTCACCAAACTTACTTACATTTTATCCAAATAAAGCCAAAACAGCCAGTTCAGACTGCTGATTCTATCAAAACCTCGTCAGTCCTGTATAAACGTCACCTCTCCTGGGCCACCCCTGTTCTCTCTGATCCTCATGTTTTTCTCCTCTCTGAACTCTTAAGAAGTAAGCTGACAGGGCCAGCCACTGGGCAATTACCAAAGCCTTGTATTGTTAGTTCTCTCAAGCGTATTCAAGTAGTGAATATCAAGTGTTAACACTCATTTTAAATCTGTTATACCAGCATTTATCCATCCAAATGAATGCTCTCTTCTTCAAAGTAATAATTTATTCTAACGACACTGCCATTGCTTAAAGCATTTTTGAAGTTCTTTAAAAACTCCCTTCAGAAACTGATACACATTCTTTTGAATTTCTTAAATAGGGGCATAACTTTGCTCTTTGAAGATAGATTGGGTATTTGAAACAGTAAAAAGACATTTGAGCTGATAATTAAGGTAGGCGATCAGGTTGGGCAATGTTATCCTTTAGCCAAAAATCAAACTATAACCATGAGGTAATGAGGAAAAAAAAACTCCCTCATTCTGCAGATAATTTCTGGATTTGCACGCTTGTTGGAATAAATTAACAGCCTCCAAGGTGACTCTTTCACTGAGAGCTTCGACAAATCAGTCACTTGGATAAATCAATCCTTACATATTTGTTTACAACTAAATTTTATAGTTAGATTTCATTAATTTTATCTCCAAATTGGATCATAAGCATCTTAGACGTTTTCCTTTTTGAGCTTCTCTCACGATACTTATTTTATCTTTCTTATTCGCTTGTATGCCTGTCTTCTCTTACAAAACTGGAAGGCCCTTGACGCAAGAGCCATGCTTTATGCACCTGTATACAGCAGCATCCACTGCAGTGTACTGCACACAGCACGCACTCAATTCTGCATGTGGAATGAATGAATGAATTGATGGATGGATGAATTGCTTAGGTCATTGTTGTCCTATAGATTTCTATTGATCTTAAACTGTTAAAATATCTGAATTAGGCCACATTTAGACCCAGACTGAGGCCTCTTTTACCCTGGAAGATCCATCCCGATAGACTTTTCACCAATTTTAAAGATTGCCTGATATCACTTCTTTGTGACATTTACTAATAAAATACATTAGCACAGTGTATATTTCCTTGTAGGCAGTTGATAAAACTTTGCTGAGTGAATACTGAATGAGTGAATGCATTTGGTCCAGAGTCAACTGAACAAAAGTTTTTAATGACAAAAGACACTTTCCCGATCTCTAGTTCATTCCTGGAGTGATTACTGATGATTTTTCTCCATTTAGCTACTTTCAAAAAATCTTCTCTGTCAGTTTTGGTGAAGAGTTTCTATTTCCTTTGGGAAGTATTTAATATTTGATATCCACCTACGGTTTGTTTGCACTGGTGTAAAACTTGTTTTATTGATAATACTCTTCATTTCACACTGAGTCAAATAAAAAATGTTTATCCTCTTCTGTTATTAAGGAGCATTTCCCTTTCCTGAAACATCAGTATCAAATTTTGTTTCTTTTCTCCAAATACTTCATAGACTTGTTCTTCAACAGGCTCTTCTTGAGAAAGTGGCTGTGAAAACTACAATTCTTATTGTAATTTAGTAAGTTACAAGGCAAATATCCCACCTGCAAACCACAATGGAAAGACTGGTCCAAGATTAGACCAAGACATTTGGTCACAAATCTGATCAATTCTATGTTGAATGCTAAGAAAAGTTTTAATTGCACAAAGATAGTACATAACATTTCAAATATAAATGAAAAGACAATCAATAGTGCTATCAAAATGTATAACACAGGAACTTTTTTTAAAAAGAATAGAAAAATTATACTTAGGACCCATAAATCTTCTTCATTATAAGCATATGTAGCAATTTATTCATGCAGGTTTTTATATGTAGATAGGATGATTTTTTTTTTTCTTTTTGAGGAATTCCATTGTAGCTATGGGATGAAAAAATGTATTGATGTAACAATGTATTATGGTAATGTAATAGCTTTCTTCTATTTTGCTTTTAGCATTAGGATTGCTAAAAGCTTATTTAAAATATCCAACTGACATTAATGTGCTTTCAATAAAAAGGACACTGCTGTATGCATTATCCTTCCTCTGTCGCTATTTGATACCGCATCGCCTGGCCTCTTTCTACACAGGCCACTTTGTTAAGAGGGAGGCCAAGGGAGGTGAAATTTCAGGCAGGGGGTGACAGGGTGACCATCCTATCAACCTGGTCAGTCCTCCAGCAGACCTTACCTCCAGTGTTTCTCCTACGGTATTCCACAGGCAGGAGGAGAAACAGGCTTGCCTTCCAGGGAAAGCAGCCCCAGGCTTTCTGCCCAGCCAGATTTGCAAGGGAACAGCACTGCTGACCCCACGCTTGCTGGGTTTGGGTTCAGACAAGGAGGTCCCAAGCTGAGGGCCAAACCCTGATTTCTGAAGCCTCACAGGTCAGACTGCTCCCGTAACAGCTGCCAGGAAGACTCCCAGGATGCCAGCACACTAAACAAGTGTGCAGGGTGACAGGACTCTGCCGCTCCCTCTGCCTCTTTGGAGAAGTGTTAAAAGGAGAGGATACCCCGCGGCCATGGGGCCAAAGCCCTCCGGTCCTGAAGTCAGCTGCATCAGCATTTCCATGATGCATGTCCAGGGCATCACCCCAGAAATGGAAGACTGGAGCCCCCCCACAGATGCCAAGGAGGAGCAGAGGGATTGACAAGGGGGTGGAAGTGCCCGCCTCCTGCCTCCTCTCGTCCCCTCGCCCTTCAGCTCTGGCACAGGCCTGGAGTGTAGGAGTAACTGCAAAATGTTCAATCCAATCAGATAAATTGGTTGGGTGTCTCTTCAGATTCCAGAACACTTGGAAATGGTAATTCTGCCAAAAGAGGCTCTGTCAGAGATGATCTGGGTGACAGACTGCAGTTAAAAACTTCATCTAGTGAACCTGAAAAAAGTCAACAAAGCATGCATTATTACCACCACCGAAAAAACAAAAACAAACACCAACAGTGCCTTTAAAACTCGTACAACATGCTATGTCACCTTTTCAATAATTAATCGAGAATCCTGGCTTCCTCAGAAACACTCAAAAAGCTAAAGAGAAAAGTGCTGCTTTTTGTTCACCATGAGGACACGGACTGTCATTTGCTTTTCCCCGGGCCAGAGTGGATTTGCAGTAAGCTGCACGTACTCTTTCTCACGTGATGACAAAAGGCCTCCACGTGGGGAGTAGATGCCTAGGACAGAGGGCAGTTTTTGAGAGGCCGGTGGAGCTGCGCTGTCTCACTGGGACAGAGCCTGTAGAGGCCGGGCTCGGCCTGCCTGCCAAGGCAGCTGATGCATCTCGGCTGCATCATCTGCAATGCACACTGACAGCTCAGGTCGGCCTGGAAGACTCCTTCCCCAGTGCTCTGCAGTGGAAGTGGCCCCAGGGCTGGCTCAGGGTAAATCTGAAAGGAAGCACTGTCCAGTTTCACAGGCTCTTCAGTGTCTCCATGATGGCAGTGGACACCCCAGGCAGCCTATGTGACAGAGAGTGAGTGATGGTGAAACAGTAAAACTCTGCCCAGGCTGCTGCAGCCAGTGGGTGAGGCTGGAGGGGTGTCCCAGGAAGGACCGGCACCTGGGACCTTGCTGCAACTGGGCAAGTTAATCTTCCCCCAAAGGGATGAGCATATAATCCCCCCGCATGGCTGCAATGGAGCAAAGCACAGAAACATCTGTGTAAGGCACACCCACACAGAGAAAGCTAAAGCAACGTGGAGGGAGGGAGAGAGAGGTAGTGGAGGAGAGAGTGAGGAAGGAGAGAGAGAGGGGCAGAGAAGAGGAGGAGGGAGACACAGACAGACAGACTACTTCCACAAGAAATAGCTAGGAGTAAGCATTTTTTCTATAAACATTGGAAGAAAGCAACAACTGTCATTAAATGCAATTAATGAGGGCTCTGTGTTTTACATCTAAACTTTTTGAAAACTGCAAGTTCATAGAGACTGGTGTCTGTTTGTTTTTGCAATTAGCAGCGAGAGTCCTGGTTCAAGGGAGTTGCTTTCTCAGCCCAAACCAGCACGGACAGAGAATGGGCAGCAGAAGACAAATCCAGATGAGACCTGATCAATGTCACAGCCACAGCAGACTGAAAAGTCTCGCCAACTCCTGGGGAGGAGGCACTGGATATTAAAATCTAGAACCCACCATATATGATCTGTAGTTTGTTAAGTGAAGCATTCTCAAGAGTTATTCTTTTGCGGTCTTACAAACTCTGGAGAACTCTTTCAAACATTGTTAAAGATAGATATCTCCACCAAGCAGATTCCTCCCCGAATTGAACTTTTAGTTAACATTCTGTTGCCCAGAATATGCACATAAGGAAAGCATCATTCTTTCACAATATTTAAATTATTAATAATATTTGAATGAGTATTAATATGTAATTAATAATATATTTTAAAATTATTTTCTGGGTGCGCTGCACAATATAATTGCTATGTCAGAAAACTTTAAGAAGCCTAAAAGGAGAAGTCATTAGATTTCTTTTTGGTAATAGACATTTCTCACTTCTTACTTTCTGAATTACATGATATTTCCCCTTTATTAAGAGGCCTTGCCTTTTCAATTAATGGACTCTCCTCTCCCATGACTTTACTCTCCACTTTCATTGAACTACCCTGCTGAGGTACTGGAGAATTGTCAACATACCTCTGGAAGTTACACTGAATTTTCGGTCAGAGAAACTGCTCCTTCGGATTAGAGGTTCACTCATTTTCTCCAGAAACAATTTAATTGTCTCCTTCTTTTCTGGGCTTGTACTTGACAAATTCAGAACTTTTCCATTCACGTTTACAGTGGAATTGCTGAGCCCAAACCAATAGAAGAAATCAAATAATGCATCAGCTTTGAATTCATATGCAAAGCTTAGATTTTCTCCATTAACCACCTCATTTCCTGGAGGGAAAAAATTCTTTACTGCCTCTTGAAAATCAAACTGAAAGAGAGAGAAGCATTTCATTAATTTCATGGATATAAATATAATGTTATATTATAGAAGTATATATTATTATAGAATTATATTGTAGAATTAACTGCCCATATATCCAAAATATCACACCCCTTATTTCTCTTTCACTCTGACAGATATTTTTTAACTGTTCCCTTTATTTTTTTTTAAACAGACCTTTGCATTTGCATCATATTCCATCTAAAGACCTTGAATTACTTGGTCAAATTTACATTGATTCTTACCCCATTTCTAATAAGTTGCTAGAAACTAAGTTCATTTTATTGGTGGTGATAATGGAGTAATAGAGAACTTACACGTCTGGGTACAGTTAAGTGACAGTTACGGTCCAGGGCCTGGGTCCTTGCATGAAACACACAGACCCCTCTCCATGTGGTTGGCAGCCCGGGATTCAGAGAGGCTGAAGCTTACCTGAAGCCGGTAGCTTTCTCCAATCACTGAGGAAATGACCATGTCCATCCCTTGCTCTATCTGTCTTCTTATCTTGGGGTGCCTTGTGTTCACAAGAAATGCATACGTCCTTTCTAGAAATTAGGAAGCAGAATTCAAAAAGAAGTATGCGTGTGTGACTTACACATGCTTCTTGTATTTGATAAAGCAGTGATTCCCATCTTATTTGGAGATTTTATTCATTTATAACCTCCCTTGCCACTCCCTAACACCCTCGCTGCAAAGCCTAAGCAGATTTCTAGAAATATCTGCGAGAATTTTGCAGGTTTGAAGGAAGCTCTGGGATATTGTAAAAGTAGGTTAGAAAATCAGCTCCCCCGAGGCTGCAGTTTGTCACTCAGTTTGCGTCTCAGAAACCAAGAGTTCCATTCTATAATTATCACAGAGGAGAACTGAGCCTCCACCGCGTGCATCCAGCATGGGGAGCTAAAGTGAAAAATTGAGCTGGCTGGTTCTCACATCACTGCCTCGCTGGATATTTAAACTGCAGCTTGGCTCTCACCAACACTTCCTCATCTACAAAGCAGGAAAGCAGCAAAGTCCAGGGAAGGAGGCGGCCTCATGCCCTCCTCTGTCCCTCCCATCTCTCCCCATCCTCCCCAGAGACCTGGCATTCATTCTGCCAAAGGGCTAGTCTAGGGTTCTAAGGATCAAAGCACCTTGAGACTGATTCTCCTCCCATGCCCCACCCCACACAAGAAGAGAAGTCCCTCCCCTTGTTCAAATAGTACCATGTCTCTGTCCTGGCAGACAGTTGTTTTTGTCGTTATTGTTTGTTTTGTTTTTTTTGGTAATCCCTTAAATCCAATTCTGTCCAATTCTACATAATCTAAGCAAAGGGAAGGTTATTTACTCATTAAGAAATTTGAAATATTATTAACCAACAACCTCTTGACTTTTCCAGCCCCTGGAATCAAGGTCCACAGCCTTCATTACTCAAGCAATTTTTCTAGGGAGACCCATAACACAGACTGTCACCCTCTGTTCAAAGGCCATGAACCAGCCATTGTGTGATTTTGAGAACTGAACATTTTGTATTGGCTTTGAGCGCCAAACCTGTGGTCCACCAATAACAAGCGTTGCATCCTTGAGGAATACGTTTTGAACTAACCTTTGCACTAACCTTATTCAATTATTTCTCCTACCCCAGTTTTCCTTTCTCCCAAATTATTTTTTGGGCACTTTAGATATAAACTACCCCATATCCTCTTTGAAATAAGAGATAAACAAGGCAAGTAAGTTATTTGACACCTTAAATTAACTTTTACACAAAGAAAATCAAGACCTTTAGGCTCACTCAGGGCCGCCACACTCCACAGTTGTAATGGTTGGGCAGACTGTGCACTGCAAACTCTAGAGGAGGCCACTCACATTCACAGACAGCATCTATTTGTATATATATTACGACAAACTTCTGGGAAGGATTAGTAAATTGTCTTGAGTTAATGGTGGCTTTTTCTAATTTGCACAAAAGTGTAGTTTAGAATAGCAGCAGGTCTGGACGTGTTGCCTTAATCACAATTTTCATAATTTAAACTTGACCATCTTAAGCTTCTGTATCATAGAATCTCTTCATTTCCTGGCTTTCCTCACAAGCAACCAGTACTGGGTTTCTGTGCCTGCTTCCACAATAGTTTTGTCGCACAACTGCGTACCTTTTGTAGGCCGCCCACAGATACCTCCTTGAACCACTCCCTGCTCTTTCATTAAAATGTTAAAATGGAGAGGGCTCTTATTCTTTCTTAAGATTCCTCCTGAGAGATGGACAACGCAGGAGATGTACTTGATACATCTGTGAATTACATTCCTAGAGAACTCTCTGGCTTTCTGCTCATCAACAAGCCAAGTAACAACATGGGCTCAGATGCTCTAACGAGCATTGCTTGTTCTCGTGTTCTGCTCCTGCTCCTCCTGCCGAGAGAGCGTCGTGACTATGAATTGTGAAGTGAGCAAAGGATCTGAATGATTCTGAATGAAAGGAGCAGAGAGTCAGCTCCACGTATCTGAATGAGAGTGAATGTTTGAGGAAATCTATTTGGAATTTGTAGATCATTTCTTGTTACCTTGGACTCATTTTAAGAATGTTAATTAGAGGTAAGTTTAAGAAATTCTCCCTCTCACAGAATACTATGCCCATAACTGTCTCCACATATTACTCTGAGCAGCAGGAAGAAGGGAAAACTGAGATCTTTTCCTATTGGAATTTGAGTTAATATAGCTGTTATCAGTTAACGGCATTTCTTGGAAGAAACAATAGAGAGATATGTCTAAAATTGAAATTCAAAGGCCATAGTGTGAAACATAAAAGCATCTACAACTGCTATTTGTTTCCTTTTTCTTAGTTTCCTCATCTGTAAAATGAGGACAGTATAAGTCCCTCATGGGCAGGACGACCATGCATCCTAATTTGCCTGGGTCAGTCCCAGTGTACACCTTTGTCTCAGCATAATTGTTAACAGTACCTCCTGTCATGCTCACAAATGTTCTCATTTGGATGATAAGCCTTAATTAATGACAGAGCACGTCTTGCATACCTAAGTGTTTGTTGATATGTGGTAGACAGTATTATATATCATCAGCTTCATGACTCCATTTTTGCAACTCCTACAGGCTCAGAATGTCCAATCACTTCCTGCCTAGACAGGAAGTAGAAAACAAAGCCCAGAGACAGATGGCTTCTGCCCCAGGCTCATTTAGAGGTTTGTTCTGCAGGCTTGTGCTGTGCTTCAGACAGCCTACCCAACAGGCTTCTCTCTCACAGCCTTGTCACAAGCTGACCCTCACCCTACTTTCTCCATGCCCAACTTCTACCTCACCAGCAGGCCACAGTCCCCAGCCCAGCAAGGCAGAACCAAATCAAAAATATTTATACACCTACCTTTTGCGGTGTCTTTTTTGGTCTGCACATTAATAAAGAACAGCATTGGTTTGCTCAATATAGTCTCCCTGTAGTCTTTATAATCATAGTAGTTGGTCAGTTCCACATATCTATGAAAAAAGCAGAGATAATTGCAAATTTATTGTACCCTCCCATCTAAGTCAGGAAAGGGATGTACTGGACAGGTGCCTGCCATGTCCATAGATCCTTTGAGGGAAGTCCCCTAAAATGTGTTCTTTCGGAGACAGTCATATTTTGTACCATCTAAATAAATGCCCCTCCCCTGGTTGGCTGAGAGATCAACGTGTAACCTAAAGGTGGTCATTGTCCTTGGGGTGGCCTGGCACCAACAACTGGCTCTCAGGGGCAGCCTTTACCAGATGATGACCAGTACCATCTATCTTTTGGGCTATAAGAGTTCATTTGAAGCTATAAGGGCTCTATGTCTCTCTAGGCTAGAATGAATTACACTCACTAAGTGGAATTAGCTGGGTCCTCTCCAGTGCAGTCATCCTGTCTTACTGGTGGGTCTGAAATTTTCCTTTCCTTCTCTTTCCCTCTTCCTTTCTCTAATTTCAAAATAAACCCAGCCCCCTCCATAGATTACACAATCAACCAATATTGATATGAACTAATTCCCATCTCTCTGATCCTGAGTTTGTGCAATTAAAGAAAAACAAAACTAATGCTGGACTTCTGCCCAGGGCCCTATGAAATTTCGCTTCCTGAGTTTTCATTCATAATTCCAGCCTGGGAAGATCTTTTGCATTTTGACTCTGTCATCCAGCATGTCAGCTTTCTCTACAAATTTTCCAAGCAGTCTTTCTATGTCTCTGCTCACATTGTTGATAACAAGACAGATCCATGTACAATTTAGCTTCCTTCAAGAAGTGGCTAATTTTCTAACCAAACCCGAGCTCAGATGCCGCATGGCCACAGGCAGGCTGAATGGCATCCAGCAGGCTGGAGGACGCTCCTGCCACAGTCTCTCTTCGACACGGAGCTGGTTCCCCACTGACGGGCGCAGCTGTGAGCATCTGCACGGAGTGAATGGGCTGGCCCGGCTGACAGCACGGCTGCTTGTGCGACACCGCAGTGCTTACTTCTTAGATCTAGTCACGGCCAGAGACAGCTCGAGTGTTTCTTTCTGGCTCGTTGTCCTTCCAGTGCCCGACATGAAAATCACAGCCTTGGAGAGAGCCCCACTGCAGGGAGCCGTGGCCACACCGTCCTCTCAGCTCCCTCCCCAGAGCCCACTTCCCACAACCTGCTTACGAGACCACGACCCAGGCACGGGTCAAGAGCACGTGGGAGAGTATCTACCCCGGAGTCAGAGAAACGCAGCTTCCGCTCTCAGTCTCCCAGCTTGGTTTCTTAGGAATCTGTGTCATTATCTTTTTTCTGGGATTGTCAGACCTGATTTTGAGAGCTTTTAAAACCTGACCCCTGATGGAGCCTCTAAAATGCTTCCTGCCTTCTGTTTTACCAGGCTTTTAATGTGGTCTCCACCTCCCAACCTGGGCACTGGGGGTGGTTACGGGGCTGGTCCTGGGGTGGGGAGGCGGACACAGGACTGGTGCTTTCCAGAGAAGGAACGGGGGTGCAGGTGATGTTCAGGGGGCGTGGGTGAGGAGGGCAGGAGAAGGGAGCAGAGGGTGGGAATGGAGAAGGGGCAGGGACCTGGGGGATGGACCAGGTAAGATAATGCAGACAGGGGTTTGTATGTCCTCCTTCATCCCACCCCGCCCTCGCCCTCACCTGGGCACAACAGTGTGGAGTGAGAATGGGGCGAGGTGGGCACCTGAAGGGGAGTGGCACTGTGTTCCATGTCAGCAGAGAGGGGACTTTCTTGTTCTTTGTCCCAGTTGACCAACTGCCAAAAGATGCCGGAGAGAGGAAGCAGTGAATGAAGGAGAGGGAACCACCATTTGCGGGGTTTATTCACTCTCATTCACTCAGTCAACAACATTCATTAAGTGCCGATTATACACTGGGCACCAGGTAGGCATTCACTTGTGTCCTCTCACATCTGAGGAGCTCAGGGCCTAGGAGGTGGGGATGGGGTAGAAGGGTGGCAGTACCTGGGTTGCCTGTGCTCTCCCACCCCCTCTGCCATCCATCTATTCAGCTGCCAAGGACCTGGTGCACGCAGGCAGGAGTGGGGTGGGAAGGGGGTGAGGTCTGTGGTTGCAGGGCATGCTGGGAGAGATGCGGAGGGAACAAAGGGGAAGAAAACTCTTGCAGCAACAGAAGAAAAGAACAAGTCTGATTGGAGGAAACATCAAAAAGATAGACGTGTGACGCCGGGAGGGAGTCAGGTACCCCTGTGATCCATCCCAGGGAGATCTTCACATTCTCCCACTTGTTTATCAGGGAGTTAATTTACAGTCATTTAAGCATTTAATATTTTCCTCGAGGCAATTCCTCTGCTATCTCAATATCCATAGTCTGATTGTCATTCTCCAGGCGTTCACATGGCATTTGTGTACAGTGCACCCAGAAAATCTGCAGTTTTGATTACTATTCTGATGACACAAATGACAGTGCAATACTTGACTCTGCCTACAAAATCGATTGATATCTGATTGAGGGTATCATCAGTAATAAAAAGATGAAAATCTCAACTTAGAAATGATCAGTGGTTGGGAAAATAATCCGTTTCCCCCAGAATCCTGTGGAAGACTTTTTTGAATGGTATAGGGCGCAAAGAGCTGTCATTTGGCGTGATCAGAGAAGGCGGACTGGGCAGAGGGTGGGGGGCTTCTGGATAGTCCCATATTGAGTTTAATGCATAACCTATATATAACTCATCCCTTTTAGAGTCTGAATTTAATAAGATGCCCTGAATAATAAGACTATGCTCAACATAATTTAACCTTCCTTTGATGATTTAGAGGCACTTTTAGGATCTTAACAGGGCTGTAAACATCATCACAGAGCATGTCAGTTATCACTATGCCACAGATGTGTGAAAATGCTGCTTATATGAGGGCTCTGATAACAGCATTTACAGACAAGAGATTGTGGCAAGATCCCTGCGTAATAAACTCGCTATTTAAACCAGGTCACAAATAAGAAATACCTCCGTAATTCATCCATTCCCAGCCGCCCAGTTATGGTCCAATTGTTAAACACCTCAAAATTCCAGCAAAATACACAAATGTGAGGATTCCTTTGGAATTCACTGTTACAAAATTTCGTTATGTAAGTCACAAACATACAAAAAGATTTAGGACCTAGTTGTTAAGTCTCACAAATATTTAAGTACCTGACATTCAATCACTGGTTTTATTTTAAGAAGAGCCTTACTAGACCACATGAGGGACTAGTTATTTCATCTTTAATCGTGCATATTTCTGAATTACTAATGCAAATATTGCTTCTGTATACTAGATATTTATTATATTTGCTGAAGTTATCATTAGGGATGAAAAGCAAACAGGTTAAGATAGTTCCTTTAAAGCCTCATCTCTTCAGTGCTTTTACCCTGCCTCTGAAACGCTTCTAGGCTGAAACTTTCTATGCCTGGCTTCAATCCAAAGATTGAAAGGCAGAACAATGTGGTGGAAAGCATAGTGATTTGAAATAAAAAGATCTAATTCATGTCCTAATTGACTGGCTGTGTGAACTCAGTCCCAGAGCCACAACTCACTGTGACCTTGAGTGAGTTTCCTAACCCGTCTGAACCTGTACCCTCATTGTAAAAGGATAACAGTACTGCCTTCCATTTGATGATTGAATGCAGTGCAAGTAATGTAGACATATGTACCTGGGCCCATGGTGGATGCTCCAAAAACATTATTAGTGTCTGTAATCCTGGCCAACTCTGTTGGCCATGGGGTCAAGTTCTGTAAGATTCTGATACACAACCAGGGCTGTGTTCATTTCAGTTAACAGGTAACAAGGACAATATGAATACCTGAAAAATAAGGAGCAAGAGTTTCTCTTTCCTTGTTCCAATTTCTTTCCTCGTCTTTTCAGTTTGGAAGGCTAAAGGGAACAGCTTAACAAGTGCAATATCTGAAAGATGAGACCAAGAAAGAACTTTGTATTTTTGCTCCTAGCAAATCAGGAGTGACTGAAAGATCACCCACCCTCTAACATGCCTACCTTCCTCCAGAGGTTCCTTCAGATTTCACATCATCTGTAGCATGATCTGAAAAGCTGCTCCAAATTTCCCTTGGCTCTGACAGTCTAACGCTCAAATACAATAGGAATTCAGGGCCGGCCCGGCGGCACAAGCAGTTAAGTGCACGCGCTCCGCTGCGCCGGCCCGGGGTTCGCCGGTTCGGATCCTGGGCGCGCACCGACGCACTGCTTGGCAAGCCGTGCTGTGGCAACGTCCCATATAAAGTGGAGGAAGATGGGCACGGATGTTAGCCCAGGGCCAGTCTTCCTCAGGGAAAAAAAAAAAAGAAGAGGATTGGCAGATGTTAGCACAGGGCTGATCTCCTCACACACAAAAAAAAGGAATTCAAACCCATGGCTTCCAGCTGAGGGTGTGTGTGTGTTCACTTAAAAAATATGGAGAGTGGAGCAGAGAAAAAGAAGATCATAGATTGTAATAGTCCTTGTGTAGAAGACCCAGAAATTGCTTACAGCTTTCATAATCCTTTGCTGTGACACTAAACACAAGCTTGCAGGACTTTCCGCCCTTGGGAGCAAGCAGGATGGCCCTGCTGTGTTTCCAGTGGGAACTTGACAGCGTCATGCAGAGCTTTACCCTAAGATCTCAAACAGCTCCTTCTCTTTCACTTCCTTCCCTCCTTCTTCCAGTGAGATTACACACAATTTTCAGATTTGTCACTCTAATGTCTGTGACTTGAATCAAGGATACACATGTTCACTCATTTATTCATTCATCAATTACTGATGCTCAGTGTGTGTGAAACACAGTGACGGGGCATGGAATGATTCACTCATTTATTCACTCATGCAAAAAACATTTCCTAAACATCTACCATGTGCTGGGCTCTGGGGACATCTCACAAAGATGAGAAAGGAAACAGTCTTGCTTTCAACAAGCATACAGTCTATCGGGAGATAGATAAGAAAATCACCATTTCAATATGAAATCATAGACGTCTAAGACCTTGTTGCTTAAAGTGTAATCATTGAACCAACAGCACTGGCATCACCTGGGAGCATGTAAAACTGCAGAATCCAGGCCCCTCAGATCCTCAGGAGACTGATGAGCTTATTTAAAGTTTGAGAAGCACTGGTCTAAGACACGGTCCCTGCCCTTCAGAGGCTTACAAACTAGTCAATCATTCAAACACACAAACGCCCAAGGAATGCAGAGTTCTCTGCATTCATGTGTCCACACTCCATGGAGTTATGTCCTAGTTATTTAAATAAGAAGAAGCAAAGCAGGAAGGGCCTGGGGTCAGAACCATTCATCGAGCTGAGACAGGTACTCGGGGAGGGATCGTCCTGTCAGGCCAAACACACCGCCAATGGTTGGAGATGGGGACGCCAGGAGGAGTCACGGCTTAGCCAAGCCTTGGGAACTGGGGGGGGCCACATCCAGGCTACAGGCAGGCATTTGGCCCAGGCGAGCTGAGAGCAGGAAGCAGACTAGAGTGTGGCTGGCAGCCCTGAGCAAGATTCCTGAGGAAGGAAGGCAGGGGAGAAGGCAGCAATGGCTTGTGGCTTTGAATCACCAGGTCTGGGTTTGACTTCTGTCTCTGTGACTTCAGCAAGTTTTTAACCCTGCTGAGATTCATTTCCTCACCTGTAAAATCTGGCTAACAAAAGGTACCCCATGAGGTGGCTGAAAGATTAAATAATGTGTGTGAAGCACTTGGCTCATGGGGCTGCTTAATACTAATGTAAACTAACATTTGTCAAGTGATCAGTATGTGCCAACAACTGTTTTAAGGACTTTATAAATTCCAATTCTGAACAACGACCCTATAAGGCTGTTGGTATTACTATCCTCATTTGACAGCTGAGGAGACTGAGTCACAGAGATTAAGCAACCTTTCCAAGGCACTCAGCTAGTAAGCAGCAGAACCAGGATTCTAACCAAGGCAGTCCCATCCTGGCCCTCATGCTGGTCCACACTTACTCTAGACCGAATCTCCTCAAGTCATAGCTCAACACATGAAAGATTATTACTTCATCATTATCATTGTGTGTCCTGTCAAGGGGCTGCTGTCCTGAGCAGGTTAGCAAATCCAAGACTCAGACATGGGGACCAAGGTGGAGGACCAGTGACAAGGACAGGACAGAGCCCGCTGAGCGCAGCAGCAGCAAGGGTGACAGTGCTGCATATGGAGCTGCGACCGCTTCCACACCTCCTGGCCTCAAGTCAGGGTCGCTCCCAATAGGCGGGTCTGGCGGGCAGACAGGCCAAGCACTTCCCACTGCGGGGCGGAGGTGAGATTTCCCCCAGCCGAAATCTCGGTGTGTTCCAGCCCTTCCTCAGGGTCCTTACTCTACCCGGATGAATGTCCTCCCCTCTCCCCACACTCTGCCCCAGGAGGCTGACCTCGAGGTTGGTGTGACTGTCACCCATCTAACAGCTGTTCGGATATGGGCAGGAGCAGGTCACATCTCTGGTTTTAGTGTCTTCCTTAAAACCTCTGGATTTATTTTCTCTTTTAGGCTGATTATATGAGATGCGTACTGGCTGACGTAATTGCAGTTATTTACTTGTAGACTGGGGAAGTTTGTGAGAAAGCTGCTGCTGTCTATGGGAAGGCAGAACGATTTCAGCTTCGAGGCGGTCTGCTGAAAGCACAGGCTTTATGGTTAGTGCAACAGGAAGCCTGGCCCTCCTGCTCAGCAGCCTCCTACTTAGGTAAATTACTTAATCTCTCTGAGTCCTAATTTTCTCATCTGTAAAAAGGGGAAACAACCATAGTGCCGATTTTGTAAGCCTTTGCGAGCTAATAGCTGTGGAATACTTTACACCGTTCCGGGGACTCAAGTCAACATCAGTAGCCAGCATTATGATTGTCATACTTATGTTTATTACCCAAGCAGCCTCTTCCATGTGAGGGGACCACTGAAAAGAGAGAATCAGAGCTCCTCTTTGCCAAACGCTTGCCATCACACCTCACTAAGAGGCTGTGTTATAGGAAAAAAGGTAGGAGTGTGTGCGTTTGTGTGTGTGTGTGTGTTATTCTGAGCACGTTGTGTTTGTGATATGGATGGAAATCCCGAGCTTGAAAGAAAACAAAATAAAAATAAAGATATTGCCATAAATCCCCCAAAGTAAGAAAAATATTTTTACAGCAGGCTCTCAGGAGCTTTAAAGCCATCGCGAAACCTTCCCACCCCCCTAGGTTTCCTTAGGTTTATTTACTAGGGACGTATTTAGAAAAATGTGCAAGTATCTGAAGACAAACTGGAGTCAGTTGGGCCACTGAAGCATCCTCTTGTCATCTGAGCGAGTGAATCATGTGAATGCCAGGGTGAATAGCTCTCAGCCTTTCAGGGTTCCTTGGGAAAGGACCTCGTGAAAACCACAGCACACACTTCTGAGGGCGAGAAAAGAAATCCTGCTTACACTGTGGGCTTATCACACACCAAAAATGTTTGTTGGATGAAAAAAACTAATTAATAGAGCAAGGATTCTTAACCTCAATCGAAGCATCTCATAAACTACTTGAATGGTCAGCCACACTGGGCATGTATCCACATTTCTGGGGAGAAGTTCTACATATGATTCTCAAAAGCTCTATGGTCCAAAATGATTGAGAATCATCACTTTGCCTTTCTTGCTCCCCAGCCAACCTGGCAGCTGCTCTTGGGTGGGGGCTGTCCCACACCTAAGGCAGGAATGCGGCAGCCAAAAAGAAGATGAAAAGTTGCTGGAGTCCATCAACTCTAGGCCCCAACTCATTATGAAAAGTGGAAAGTACATGCTGGGGTACAAGCCGACTCTGAAGATGATAGACAAGGCAACGCAGAGCTGGCCAACCTCACCAACAACTGCCGACCTCACGGAAACCTGAAATAGAGTACTGTGCCATGTTGGCCCAAACTGGCACCCAGTCTACAGTGACAACAACATTGAACTGGGCATAGTAGGTGGAAAAGACGACAGAGTAGGCACACTGGATATCATTGGGCCAGGTGATTCTGTCACCTTTAGAAGTGTGCCAGAATAGACCAGTAAAAAGTAAATCATGCCAAGCTTTCTTTAGTAAAACTCGCCAGAGCTTATTTATTGAAGGAAAGAAGGAAGGAAGTGGGGAAGGGAGGGAATGAATTACTGAACTACTGCTTTGGAGCAATATTTTGAGAGAGGAAGTTTGACGCTATCCCAAAGCCGAAGACAACTGGGTAAACTTGGCAGATCTGAGGAGCAGCACCTTCAGATGTCTGAATTCTGACTATGCGCTCCTCCCTCCTGATCCACGAGGGCAAGCCTCTCGCTGTTGTCCACAACCATCTTCCCTCTGTCTAGAAGGCTCTCTCCATTCAGACCAGGTGCCCTCCCAGTCATCCTTCAGGACTTCACACCCAGTTATAAAAGCCTACTTCCCCTGCCTTCTTATGTCCCCTAAGAGAAAGACAGATTGTTCCCTCCATCACCCAAATTATTCTCAGCTGCTCCTTGCTATTTCCCAGGGTAGGAAGCCCTCACAAGACTGCTTAGACACCGAGAACCCGGTATTCGTGGATTCCTGTCTGCCACCTGGTCATTGTTTATTCTGGACTCTAAACCGCCAGGGGACCACTGCTGTTTAATTTTCTTTTGTGTCGTAGGTGTTCAAAGCAAGAGTTTAACAACCAGACTTCGAAATCATTTAAATTTTGCAGCACTGTTTGCTAAGATTAGGGGAGCCAGCTCTGTCAAAAGCTAACCTACAGCTTCAATTAATTCTGGACATTTTTATTTTTCATACTCTTTTCTCAAATAGAAAAGTCATCTTCCTTATCAATTTTTGCAAACCTGATTTCTAACTCAGTTCCTCCCACAGTCCCCTGCTTATGGGTTGAAATTTTCAATTCACTGAGAAAGGGAGAAATTCTTGCTGGGGAATGGTTTTTCAGACACTCAAACCCCTCACTATCTTTGTGTGGAAAAGCAAGGTTTGAAGGAGGCATTTTGAACATCTCATGTTGTTTGCTTGTCCTTCTTGGCTCCATCCCCCCACAGGGTGCCACAGCGCTGCTGCCTTCCCCAGCCGCAAAGTTTTATATCCTAACAGCTGGCCTGCTTACTCATCTCTGAATCAAACTCGAGACTGCACTGCCCGCTTCCCGGCACTCAGTTCTGCAGCACAAATATAAGATCCCCCTTCCTCCCCACGCCCGCACAGGGTGACCTCTGGAGACAGGAGGCCGCGTAGAATCAGGCGCCAGGCTCCCTCCTCCTTTGCCCCACAACATCGAAGCCTGCTTCACAGATGGACTACATCCCTACTGGCTTCAAGTCGGCTAAGAGGCCACTTGGCTAAGTCAGGCGCTTTGGCCACAGCAGTTAAGCCTCTATCAAATTAAGTTTGGCCCAAGTTCCACGCCAGGATCCTGGAAGCTACACTCATTGCCACTTATTTTCCCAGAACTTATCTGCCCACACGGCCCTGAGTTGGACTTGACGAGACTTTGTTCCCTTCTCAGCCACGGTTAATTAATTTATTTTTTGAAAACTAAGGGAGACCAAAGATGGGAAACTTTGAACTTTTGCACGCTTCTCCACTGGGTCTGCTGGTAGTGCACAGAATCAAGCATCCTCTCCCTCCTCCGCTCTCAAACTAAAGCCAGAGCGTCTCTCTTCTCTGTAAACATCCCTCGAAGGGTGTGCCCCCAATTTGAGCTCATCTGACCCACTTAAGGAGCCAGAAAGGGAAAATCATCAGTTACGGCTCCCCACCCTGCCCTCCCCCACGCGCCTGCCCCGATGCCCTCCTGGGCGGCTTCAAGCGGCAGGGGCAAAATGTCAGTGCAAAGGGCAGAAAGGACAGGGAGGGGAGAGAAAAACCTAGAAGCAGCACCAAGGAGTGGGGTTGTTGGGGGGGGGGGGATCCCCAGGCCAGATCTCGGGAAGCGAGGCCAGCCAGGGCTCCCGGGGACAGCAGCGGGGTGGAGGCCTCTGCGGGGACCAGGCGGCGGGCCGGGGTGCGCGGCGAGGCCACCCACCTCTTGATGTAGCCGCTGAGGCGGTAGAGCTGCCCGTCGAGGCGCACGAGGCCGTCACCGAAGACGTTGAAGCCCCCGCGCGCCGGCTCCCCGGAACCGGGCGCCACGAGCCGGTCGCCGCGCAGCTGGAAGGCGCCGGGCTGCAGGCGCAGCAGCTGCGCCAGGGGCAGCAGGGCCAGCTCGCAGTCGCACGTCCACAGGCTGCGCAGCTCCCCCGACGAGATGGAGGTCAGGCTCGGCCTGGCCGCCGGCGCGCACGCCGCCCCCGCCATGCCCCTACCGTCGGCGCTTCTGCCGCCAGTCCCAGCCGGCACCAGACGGTCCCGAGAGGGGCCGGGCGCCCGGCCTCGATCCGCCCCGCTCCGGGCTCGGTCTGTCCGCCTGG